GTTTTTTATACATCCTTTGGATAGATAGATTATAGACATCATATCTAGATATGTAGATATATATGTATATGTATATCTAGCATAGGTATAGATAAAAATAGCTATTTGTTTTGACAATGCTGTTTTCACAATTAGGAACAATGATTTATTTTTATCTCTCAGACTATCTTAATATATCAGTATAGTTTACATCTTCAAGTATATTTGCATTCAAATAATAAAAATAGATGTACAATGTATTATTTTTTAATAAAACATTGGATTCTATTTAATATTTTTTTGTTAGGACTTCTGTACCTGTTTTGACACTTGAGATTAACTTCAGTTTGTTTTGTTCTGACTTTATTTCGGGTAATACTACATCATAGAAAAACCTGAAAATTATCTCATTTTGACTGTCTGGTGAAAATAGAACACACTCCACTATGACATCCCATTAGATAACTGCACTTAAAAGTCATGAGAACTAACTTTTATTTGTGGGGTCATATCACCAATATGATATATGATTATCTTTATTTTAATTTGCTTGTCATCTTAGTGAGCATTTTGTTTTTTAGTGAGCCTTTTTATTTCTACTATATTCTTGTTTATTTATGAGCCACTTGCTTGTGTTAGCTCTTTTCTTTTATCAGGGTTCATTTTTTTCTTTGTAGAGGGAGTCTCCTTGGTCGCTCAAACTTCTTTGTACTTGAGTGAAGAGCAAGAAAAGGGTCTGGAGATGCAAATTGATAGACAACTATTTGCTTCCATTTCACATGGCCTTTAGAAAAGAGATGAAGCAGTCATGGTTCCTTCTGTCCAGGAACTTTCAGTCTGGCATGCAATCATATGATTAACTTCAACATCGTATAGTCAGGACAAAGAAGCAAAGTTTTCAGGGATCTTAGGCATCTTTTGTGACACTTCCCTTATGTTATTGTTGTGCAATCAGATGTTACCACCTGAAAAGCTACTTAGGGACAGAAGAGCTTTTGTAAGCTCTTACCTTATTGTGCTTACCTTGTTGCGATTAAGTATTTAGCTTCTAATATAAGTGTAATAGAAAACCTTAATAGTTCAGGTCTTATTGTTTGTTATTGCATGTTATAAAATAGTCAAAGACTTGGCTTAAATAGATTAAAATTATACAAATTCTGGAAGTCAGTTTTTTGGTCAAGCTTAGAAAAGACAGCTGAAAATACCCAGCAGCATAGACATCAGAAGCACATGCTCACTTCCCCAGCCCAGACCAGGTCCACCCTTTTCTGATACTTGCGCACACATAACTGACTACAGGAGGTCAGAGGTTTTGCTGGCTGTTTCTGCCATCTCTCCAGAGCTGGTGCTTACAATTTCCTGAACCTCAGAAGCAGACACTTAGGAAAGAATGGGAGCATATTTTGGGCCCTAATTTCTTTTCATTCAAAGCTGTGTTTCGCCAGGCTCAGTGGCTCAGCCTATAATCCCGCGCCTTTGGGAGGCTGAGGTGAGTGGATTGCCCGAGCTCATGGGTTCGAGACCTGCCTGGGCAGGCAAGACCTCACCTCTACAATAAAATAAAAAAATTAGCTGGGCATGGTAGCGCGCGCCTATAATTCCGGCTACTCGGAAGGCTGAGAGGGAAGGATCGCCGGAGCCCAGCAGGTCGAGGCTGCGGTGGCCGGGAGCGGCCACTGCACTCTAGTCTGGGCGACAGAGTGAGACTCCAACTCAAAAAAAAACAACAACAACAAAAACCCTGTGTTTCTAGACATTCCACCTGGCCACCTGTTCTCCATTCATGCAAATCTAACAGTTATGCCACAAGTTAAAAGAAAGTATATATAAACACAGTAATGAAAAACCCCTCTGAACTACACTTAACTCTCCATTTCTGTATTCTTTTAATCTATCTATATTTAGCATTTATTTATTTATTTGTTTTAATAATTTGTTTGAGGAAGAGTCTATGTCACCCAGGCTGGTGCATGGTGTCACCATCGTAGCTCGCTGAAACTTCAAACGCTCAGACTCAAAGCTATTTCTCTGCCTCAACCTTTTACATGGCTGGGTCTATCAGAGTAAGTCACCATGCTTGGGTATTTTTTGTAGAGATGAGGTCTTGCTTTGTTGAGCGGGCTAGTCTCAGACTCTGGGCCTCAATTGCCTTCTAAAGTGATGTAATTGCAAGCATGTACCAACATTTTTGGCCTTTATTTAGCTTTTACTTTATCCACTTTCTTTAAAAATCTATGATAGAGAAACAAAAGATTAGGAAGGATGGAATCTTCTTTATCTAACCCCTGTTGGAAATCATAAAACACTTAGTACCAACCTCCCAGGGTGTGATAAGTATTAACTTACATAATGTGATGTTTCCAGCACAGTATATCCCAGCATACTTGTGAGCACAGAGTACATGTTCCATAAACATTGCATTAATGCATGTACACATGTTGTTTTTGAAATACAGACTTCCTTAGATGTTTCTGCTTTCTTTAGCCTCTTTAAACTTTATAATATATATATTTATATTTATATTTTTGAGTTGGAGTCTCACTCTGTCACCCAGACTGGAGTGCGGTGGCACGTTCATGGCCACTACAGCCTCGACCTGCTGGACTCAGGTGATACTTCTGCCTCACCCTCCAAGTTGCTGGAACCACAGGCATGTGCCACCATGCCCAGCTGATTTTTTGATTTATTGTAGAGACAAGGTCTCACTATGTTGCACAAACTGGTCTTGAACCCCTGAGCTCAGGTAATCCTCTCGCCTCCACCTCCCAAAATGCTGGGATTACAGGCATGAGCCACAGCATCTGACTGCCTTTGTAAACTTAAAGAACTAGCAGAAAATTACATTTTCAGGATGGAGATTGGTATTTTACATTTGAATGAAACGTATTTGTGTTGTGGTAAGAGTGTTAGGTGTGTGGGGCTCTGCTGTTCCTGCTTTCTCTAGCTGAATGCTACTCCAACAGGTATTGGGGAAGCATCATCAGAATGACAAAGGACTTGACAAAGAAGACAATTCATGGGCCCCTTCTAAACCTTCAGAATTGCATTGTAGTGCACCACATGATTTATATGCATATTTTAGCTTGGGAGTCAGCTCAGAATAGTAACTTTGTCTAGGCTTCCATTTAGGATCACACGGCCAGGTGGAAGAAACACCAGCACCTGTGGTCTCTCCACAGATTTTGTCAATTGGTGTGAATAGAAGCTTAATTGTTTTATGTGCCCCATGTGATGCTACCATGCGATGGGGGCAAGCATGAGCTCTCCCAGGTGCATTGTTGCAACTTCCATTCAGCCTTTGTTCCAAGGGAAGGTGACAAGGCCTCCTTGGCTTGGGTTTCCTGGGGTCAGATCAATGCAGCCCATATTCCCATTACTGTAGCAGAAATCCCTGGCCTGGAGTGCAGGACATAAGAAATTCACATTTTGATCTTTATGTAGATGCTTATTGTTTAAGAGTCTCTTACTGATTCCTGTGATAACAAACAGGAAAGGGTGGACTTCTTATGTATTTTTAGGTCCTTTCCTTTCTGGGTGTGGGTATGGTGGTAGCAGGTGAAAAGGTTGTGTGATACTTTTAAAGGTGTATTCTCAAGATGCAAGTGGAATTTGTCGAGATAATCTCACCAGAAAAGGAATCCCAGAGAAGGAGGAAGAGCAAGAAATGTCTGGTGCTCAGGTAAATGTCTCAGGTTAAGGATTCTGTCCACTTTTCCTTCTGGAATTTTATGTTTAATACTTGATATTTTATTACTTCTCTATATAATTATGTGTCTGCCTATTGAGTTTGTTTCAACAACTTTTCTTTCTTCTTACAATATTCAAGGGCTTTTGAAAACTGCTTTTCTATTTATCAGAGGCTTCTCTCCATACTCTCCATCAAGACTTCTTATATGCCATAAAAAATATCTCATCATGAATTTAAGCCCCGCAATATGAAAAATGCTCTTCTTGTGGCTGTTAAACATGGGAAGGTGTGGGCATTGCCCAAGATTTCTGTTGGGAATAGGGTTGGGTCCTCAGATATCAGTGAAGAAGAAAGACATGTCTTGTTTAGGTTCCTTCTGGATCCTTTATTGGCTCTTGTACAAAACAACTACAAAAATACACAGTTAAACAAGATAGCAGTTATTGCCCAGAATAACTCAGAATGTACAACATAAACAATAATTGGATGTACTTGATCTCTATCTAGGATGCCAAAAAAAAGACTATTTAAATACACTACTAAAGGTTTTAAAAGATGGAGAGTATAGCTTGAATGTTACATAAAACTAACATTGCTTCATGATTATATTCAGTTTATAACTTTTTTTGGACAGGAATATCACAAAAGTGATTATACTCTCTTTGTGCCTTACCATCTGATACCAATTTGTCTTTGATTTACCAACCGATTTGCAAAAACTATCACTGTTAATCTGGAAGCTCTTCCTGATTTTATAATTCTCCTTTCATATATCTTGCTTTGGAAAATGAAGGATCTTGTCTTTGATCACTGGTCGTATGAACTGGGGTAAATCCAGACTCTCTAATTTATTATGTTTGACAAAATCGTTTCTTTGGGCCAGAAGCACTGGCATCACAGGCAAGCTTCTTAGAATTTCAGAAACTCAGACTTCACCCCAGAGCTCCTGAATCAGAATCTGCATTGTAACAGAATCTCCAGTTAATTATTGTATTGGACAAAATTGTAGAGGCTCTTTGTCATCTGAACAGTATTATCCTGAATGATCTAAATATAGCACTTAGAATGTACATGCCTTTGTATGTACCCTAATTATATAGTGTATCACCCACAAAAGTATAGTATCTACACTGGCTTTGTAGAGCTTATGCCATTCTCTTTCTTCAGTCAGAAAATACATTTGCCAATTTTACTGTGTTAAACAGTATCTTATCAAATAATTTCAGTCATACCTATAAGTTAGAACAAGTTGTCTTAACTCTCTCATTTCCTGAAATCAAATTAAAACCCCTGTTCATAGCTCCCTGGTAAATGTTTGTTTTTATTTTCTCAGGGGATATTGACATTCAAGGATGTGACCGTAGATTTCTCTCTGGAGGAGTGGGCATGCCTGAGCCCTGCTCAGCAGAATTTGTATAGTGATGTGATGTTAGAGAACTACAGAAACCTGGTCTTTGTGGGTGAGTATAACTTTCATACACAATCTCTCTTCCATACTAAAAATTGTCCCTTTTTTTGTAGGATAGGTTTCTGCTTTGCATGAATGAGTTTTTGATCCCTGCTTTTGAGTAAGCATTGTGAGATTATTAAAGCAACAAAAAGATTCAAGATGCTTCATCTTGACATGAACCATCCCATTTCTTTAGATGATCTGTATCCTTTACTCTAGATTAATGGTAAATACAGAAATTTAGTCGCATAAAATATTGTTGCCCACAACTTAAAATCCTTTTGCTACCATCAGTTTTGTCCTATTAGTACTGATTAGTGGAGTTAAGAATTTACATATTTCAAATATTTTCTAAATAGTCTAACAGTTTTGGTCAGAAAACGGTATTGTGGGATTGATTTTCTATAATCTTCTATAATGTCCTTGTGCTCTACTGAACACAGCATTAGGTTGGTAATTGGAGTTCTCAGCAAGAGCTGTGTTATTTTTTTTTACTAAAACCAGTCTTGCTGTCTTGAAAGCCGGACTTGATTATCTTGCTGGAGCAAAGAAAAAAGTCCTGGTATGTGAAGGGACAGAAAAAGTGGTCCTATACCCAGGTAGGTAGGAGTGAATGATGCAGATGCATAGATGAGAGGTCCCATGGTCAAGGACAAAGCCATACCTTAAGATGTGTTTTTGAATCTCTGTTCCAGTGGAACTGGATTCTGGGAAGTTTGGGTTTCTTTCTTTTGTGCCCACATAGTAGCTTCTTTTGTCCTATGCTCTTAAGTTCTCTGAAAATTCTTTTACTTCACTGGTCATTTTTCAAGGTTGCAGTGAGAGCCAAAATCTTCATGGCTTGTGAAGCCATAATTTGACTTCTCTTTCATTGCTTTTGGTGATATGAGAATATCTGCATATTTACTAGAGCTGTCTGTTAAGCCATTTTAAGTTCCCTCTTTGCAAAATGTCTTAAATGTGTAAATATAGAAGTAATAATGGAATTACATCCAGAAATCCCAGGAACATCACAAACAGATGTATATTTTCTTCAGCTTTAAAAGGTTCTCTTTATGGAGAATTAAAATGAAAATGTAGTTTTACTAAAATTTATAATCAATAACTTTTTTTTTTTTTAATCAGGTCTCTGTCACCAAGGGTGGAGTGCAGTGGCATGTTCACAGCTTACAGCAGCCTCGACCTCCTGGGCTCAGGCAATCTTTCCACCTCAGTTCCTCAAATAGCTGTAACCACATGTGCATTACAACACCTAATTTTTTTTTTTTTTTTTTTTGTAGAGATGACATCTACGTGGCTTAGGCTTGTCTCAAACTCCTGGGCTCAAGCAGCTCTCTCTTGTCAGCCTCCCAAAGGGTTGGTATAATAGGCATGAGCCATCTCACCTGGCTATAAGCAATAATTTTATCAGAACATAAGGATTTTTTTAACTATAAAAAGTACTGTTATTTTTCTTGAAAAAATTCTATTTTTAGTATGAAGCGAGATTGAAATCTAAACTCTATATGCCCAAAATTCTCAATGATAATGTAGTTTAGTGTTTTTCCTCTATACATGTCTTCAATACATTAGTTCATTGAGGAGCTTAGAGCATTCTACGCATATATTAAATGATCAGTTGTTACCTTATTTTTAATAACTATCATTTTATAATTTTGTTTAATATAAAGTTCACCAGACTGTTATTTTACATATATGTGTATATATACACACACACAAACTTATGTTTATATATGTGTGTATGTTTACTGTGGATTTTTTGCACCAAATTACCAAATTGTGTAATTATTGTGTAGAAGATAATTGATATGTGTATACATTGCAAAATAATACAGTCAAGTTAATGAACACTTTCTTTACCTCACATACTGACTTGTTTCTTTTTTAAAAAATATAGTGAGAATACTGGAGATATGATGCTTTAGCAAATTCTAAGATACAAAACATCCTTATGAACTATAGATATGAAGCTATACATTAGATCTCCAAACTTATTTATCTTTCAACTGGAAGTTTGTACTCTTTGGACAAAATCTCCCATTTCCTAACCTCCAGGTTATGATAACAAGCATTGTACTTTCTGTTTCTATGAATTCAATCTTTTTGGATTCCTTATATACTCGTGTGTGATATCATGCAGTATTCACCTTATTTTGGCTGGCTCATTTCACTTAGCCAAGTGTTCCACAGGTTGATCTATAGTGAAATGTCAGGATTTTAATATTATCTAATAGATGAATAATATTCTATTATGCATGTATGTATGTATATATTTTATATTATACTTATATTCATATGGCATACATACATGTATGCATATATATATATAAGATATATATATATATACATATACATATGTATATATATATATCTTATATTTTGGCCATTGTGCATAATGTAATAATCATGGGGGTGCAGATATTGCTTTGAGATACTGATTTTATTTTTTTAATTATATACACAGTTGTGGATTTCTAGACTTCTGGTAGTATTTTTTTTTTTAAGAATCTCTGTACTGTTTTTTTATAATGACTAGCAATTTCAAAATCACCAAGAGTGTACGGAATTTTTTTCCCTACAGAAAATCACACTGAGAAATTTTGTCAGAGCACAAACATCTCATTAAACATGAAAATTTTTAATCATCTATTTTATTAATATATTTTCTTCTTCTTAGTTGGACGTGCACTAGAAATTTAAACTATATTCCAAATGCCTCTGTATATAAGAGTTTATTGTGTATACTATCCTTATAGAATTATTAAAGGCATGAATGCTGTAAGAGAACTTAGAACATTGCCCAGTACATACTAAATTCTCAGTTGTTACCTACTTCTTAATAACTATTTTGTAATTCTGTCTTCTTTAGAATATAAAGATTACCTTGACTGTGTCCTACCTATACTTTTGTTTTCTGATTTGTTATATACCAAGTGTGCCAGCCATTTGAGTTTCAGAAATTTTAAAATAACATGCTTAAATTTGAATGTTATATAAAAAAAGAATTAAATAATTAGTTAGTACCCCATAGTTCTTAAAAGGTTTTATTTGTGTGTTTACGTTTACTGCATACAAATATTATCATTAGCCTTTCCATCTGTTTTCCTCTACCTTTATCTGAATGATAGTATAATCCATTTCTAATTGTTCATATTATATATGTGTTTTATACCATATTTTACAATATTACTGGGTTTCTGTATTTAGAATCACAAGGTTATTCTGTACTTCTAAAAGCTGGATTATAGCCTTTCCATTTTCTGCAAAAAGAGCAGCAATATAGTAAATAATCAAAAAGATTCTCTAATATCATTTGTATGCTGATTTTTTCTCTCATCAAAGATATTTATGCACAAACCTTTTAAATATAACTATAATCATTATTCTGTGAAATGTTATTGTCTTAACTGTATACTAGTGGTTCATCACTTGTACTTCTTATGGATGCTTCGTCATTGTTGAAAATTGTATTTATAAGGATTCTTATTCAGTAGTATGCTCTGTTTATTCAATATACTGTGGCTTAAAGTGTCTTTTTATTTTATGTTTCAATTTATATTGCTGTGGTTAATTTTTTAGGGTACAGCACCTCACTTGACTGTGCTCTTAATTTTAATTTATATATTATAATTTTGTTTGATAATATTCAACTCTGAACACTTAAGACAGTATGAGTAAAAATCAACCTCTTAATATTACCCCTATGTTTTTGTGTAACTTGTATATTTGTTTTCCTGGTTGGTGGTCAATAACTGTTTTTCCTAAGTGTGGTCATAGGCATTGTGTTCCTTTTGATTTCTTTACTGGTGAATGTATATTATCTTTGTGTGAGAAAAACACTTGTGATATGAAGGTAATTTTTGAAAAACGTTCTAACTCTATCTCTTTTAGGCATTATTGTTTATTTTAATGATAAAAATCACATCTCCTAAAATTTATAATCTTAAATATTTTGAATTACACATTTCAGTCATGGTAAGTTTATTTATGTTGTTGTACCATGTCTCTAAAACACTTTTATCTTACAAGACTAAAATTCAAGGCTCCTGAAAGAACCACCCATTTCTTCCATTTCCTGGCCCTTTAAAAAACCATTTTATGTTTTGCTTCTACCACTGTAACTACTTTAGATATCTGATATAAGTGAATTTGCACAGTTTCTTTTTGTGGCTGACTGATTTCATCTAGCATAACAGTATCAAGGTTTATTTTATTGGAGATGTTAGAGGGTAACTGGTTCCTTAAAATTTGAGTAATATTTTATTCTGTTTACATTTAAAATTATATTTATCTATTCACTTGGGGTTTTTTCTTCTGTTATTGAATTTTGATTTATTCCATTTAGGTCATAAATAATCTGTAGGATTTCAATGTTTAAAACTTTGCAAAGACTTTTTTGCCTAATGGGTGGCTTATCTAAGAAAATATTTTACTGCTAATTAGAAGATTGTATATTCTTCTATTGTTGTGTGGAATGTCTTCTATATATCATTTAGAGCATGTGTTTATAGTGCTTTTAAGTCCTCTGTTTCCTTAATATTTAATTTTGCTTTATGATTTATTACTGGAAGTAGGGTATAGAAGTATCCTATTATCATTTTGCTGTATATTTCTTGCTTCAATCAGTCAGTGTTTTCTTTATTTGGAAACCTAAATCTGAGACACTATTCAAAAGACACACAGATACATATGCATTTGTTATAATTTCCCAGTGAACGAACTATTTTATTATTTAATAACCTTATTTGTCTTTTGAAATTTTTGCTTTAAGTGTATTTTATAAGATGTGATAGTTTTTAACTAAAATATATGTTTGGCTAATATAATATTGAAGTTTGCTTTCATTTAATTTATATTTGCATGGAATGTCTTTTTTCATCCTACCACTTTCTGTCTGCTTTTGTCTAAATTGAGTATTTTTTTTAGAGATATATACTTAGGTTTTTTAAAAAAATAATTTATTCTAATAATTTATGATATAATTATAAATCTTAATACATAAGGATTTAAATAATTTTCTACAAGAGGATTTGTCATTGCCATTTCTTTGCTTTTATTTTGCATATTTTGTCTTTTTAAAATTTCTGCTCATCATATTTGGTATAATTTTATATGGTAAGTTTGTAATATATGTTCACCTGAGGCTAGGAAGTCATGTAATTTGTCATTTTCATTTTATTCAGCTAATTCTTTTCATTTCTTTCATGATCATTGCCAAAGCAGAGGATAAAAGATTTGTTCCAAAAAGTGGTATTTAAAAGATATGGAAGCTTTGGCCTTGGGAATTTATACTTAGGGAAAGACAGAGAAATTGTGGAGGAGAGCAAGGGAGAGAAAGGATGATATAATGGAGTTAGCCAATGTCCACAGAACAATCTTTCAATATAATAAATGTGTAAATGTCTTTATTAGATTATCAAATCTAAACAGAATTAACATGAAACGTAAAAAAGATAAATCCTACAAATGTGAAGAATGTAGCAAAGCCTTTTACTGTTTTTCAGACCTTACTCAACATAAAAGAATTCATAATGGAGATAAACCCTGCAAATGTGGAGAATGTGGCAAAGCCTTTAACCAATACTCAAATTTTATCCAACATAAAATAATTCATACCAGAGAGAAACCCTATCAATGTGAAGATTGTGGCAAAGCCTTTAAACTGTGCCAAGACTTTACTATACATAAAATCATTCATACCAAAGAACAACCCTACAAATGTGAAGAATGCAGCAGAGCCTTTAACAAATACTCACACCTTACTCAACATAAAAGAATTCATAATGGAGATAAACTCTACAAATGTGGAGAATGTGGCAAAGCTTTTAACCAATGCTCAAATTTTATTCAACATAAAATAATTCATACTGGGGAGAAACCCTACCAGTGTGAAGAATGCGGCAAAGGCTTTAACCAGAACTCAACCCTTACTCAACATAAGAAAATTCATGCTGGAGAGAAACCCTACAAATGTGAAGATTGTGGCAAAGCCTTTAAACTGTGCCAAGTTCTTACTAGACATAAAAGAATTCACACTAATGAAAAACGCTACAAATGTGGAGAATGTGGCAAAACCTTCAACTGTTGCTCACACCTTACTCAACATAAAAGAATTCACAGTGGAGAAAAACCCTACAAATGTGGAATCTGTGGCAGAGGCTTTAAGCAGAGCTCAATCCTTACTCGACATATGAAAATTCATACTGGAGAGAAACCCTACCAATGTGAAGATTGTGGCAAAGCCTTTAAACTGTGCCAAGACCTTACTAGACATAAAAGAATTCATACTAACGAAAAACGCTACAAATGTGGAGAATGTGGCAAAGCCTTCAAACATTGCTCAAACCTTAATAAACATAAAAGAATTCACAGTGGAGAACAACCCTACAAATGTGAAGAGTGTGACAAAGCATTTAACCAATATTCACACCTTACACAACATAAAATAATTCACAGTGGAGAAAAACCCTACAAATGTGGAGAATGTGGCAAAGCCTTTAACCAATGCTCAAATTTGACTCAACATAAAAGAATTCATACTATAGAGAAACCCCACAAATGTGAAGATTGTGGCAAAGCCTTTAAACTGTGCCAAGACCTTACTAGACATAAAAGAATGCATACTAAAGAAATGCCCTACATTTGTAGAGAATGTGGCAAAGCCTTCTACTGGTGCTCACACCTTACTCTACATAAAATAATTCACAGTGGAGAAAAACCCTACAAATGTGAAGAATGTGGCAAAGCCTTTAACCGGTGCTCAAACTTGACTCGACATAAAAGAATTCATATAGGAGATAAACTCTAAAAATGTGTAGAGTGTGGTAAAGCCTTTAACCATTGCTCAAATTTTATTTAACATAAAAGAATTCAGCCTGGAGAGAAACCCTACCACTGTGAAGAATGCAGCTAAGGCTTTAACCAGTGCACAGTCCTTACTTGACATAGAATAATTCATACTGGAGAGTAACTCTACAAATGTGAAGATTGTGGCAAAGCCTTTAAATTGTGCCAAGACCTTACTAGACATAAAATAATTCATACTAAAGAAAATCCCTACAAATGTAGAGAATGTGGCAAGGCCTTCAACCATTGCTCACACCTTGCACAACATAAAAAAATTCGTACTGGAGAGAAACCCTACAAATGTGAACAGTGTAGCAAAGACTTTACCAGTGCTCACAATTTACTGTACATAAAATAATTCATACCTAAACAATGTCTTGCAAGTTTGCAGAATCTGCTAAAGGCTTTAATACTTGTTCACAGCTTTCTCAATGTCAGATAATTCATACTTGATAAAAGGATTACAAATATAATGACCTCTGAAATACCCTTCACAAAATATATGCCAAAAAAGTATCCACAATTTAGAGATGTTAATTTATTACTTTTGAAGTTGAATTAAATCGCAGTAGCAATTTGTAGTATGGTGCTTGCTCAATTGCTGCCATTTTGAATATCCTGCCTGTCACATGGTAATGCTAGCATTCATTTGGTTAATGCCATATTTTGTTCAAACATACATAACATGTGCATACATTTTTTAGCATTCCCTATATTCGTTTTAGAGAGCAGAAGAGCATACTGATGAAAAGCATTACAAGTGCAAAGAGGAGTACATGGCATACTATTGTACACAGGAGAATTTATATCGGAGACAAACCCTCCAACAGTTGCTCAAATTTTATTCAATGTCAGAAAATTTGTATTGGAGAGAAAGCTTACAAGTGTAACCATTGTGAAAAAACCTTTGTCCAAAAAAGATTTCTTTAAAAAATCATAATGCTTACTAAAATACTCCTTATAGATGAATTAGATGTATATATAAAGTGCAAATAATTTGAGGAATGTTGTTCCCATAGTTTGTGTATATATATTATGTTTGTGTGTGTGTGTGTGTGTGTGTGTAAATGTATATATTTGACTTCTTTGCTACCATGTGATTATTATGATGGTTATAATAATGATGATATTGAGGCATAATCAAAAGTCATCTATTTCTGAATCTTGAGTGAATATATACATAATTTTGTCCTACAGTTTCTTTGGACATTCAGTCACTCTGGCCAGAAAAGCATGTACAGACTATTAGTTTTTATTGAAATGAAGCTAAATATACAAATGAATGAGGAGTACATTACAGATCTTATTGTACACAAAAGATACAAATATGTTACTCAAGAAATAAGCATTTCTAATAAAAAAATTCTAAAATAAACACATGTGAGAGTTGTGTAGCATGTAATTTTTATGAAAGTGCGTGTGTAATATTATTGAAGGAAACAAAAATAGAACGATAGTGGTAATTTTTTAGTGTTGAACATGTAATTGCTTCTCACCAGATAATTTTAAGGTTTGAGTAATTCCATAATGAATGTATTGGTGTATTTTATTAGTGCATTCCATGTTTTCCCTTCATTTGGAAAACATTGTTTAAGCTAATTTTTTGTTATTGTTATTGTTCCTTCACTATTTGGAGTGTTGTTTTTTGTAATTTTTTTCATTTTTATTTTTTAAGTCATTGTCTCACTCTAACCCAGGTTGGATGATCACAGCTCATTTTTGCCCCCCTTCCCCCGGCTCAGGCAATACTTCAACCTCCACCTCTTGAATAGTTGGGACTACAAGGTTCATGCCACCATCCCTGGTTATTGTTTTTGATTTTTTTTTTATTAGAAGTTAGGTCTTACTGTGTTGCCCAAGGTAATCTCAAACTCCTTGGCTCAAGCAATTCTTCCACCTTTTTTTCCCAAAGTGCTGGAATTATAAGTGTCAGCCACTGTACCCAGCCCCTTTCATTTTTTATAATTGACATAGTTGAGTTTTTTGGCTTCATTGAACCAATTTGTTTATGTAAGCACTGGGAAAGCTTCATAAGTAACAGGACTTTTTTTAAACATGTGATTGACATGAGTATACACAGGACAGTGCTGGGTGTTTCAAAGATGCTCCATTATTAGCAGTAAATATTCCTGTTGGGGTTTGTGGTCCCAGGAAAGAGATAGAAAATATCAACCTTAAGAAGTTGTATTGATTCTGCATGTGGACAGAGGACATCCAAACACAGGCTGCACAAGCACTGACTCTCTAAACTTAGAAAATTTATGGGGTTTTCCCCTTATTTTTTAAATAACTTCAGATTTTCACTGTCTCTTTATGTTCACCTGCAACACCATGTGGATCAGCCCTTCTTTGCCTTTGTAAATTTTGGTGAAATATTTGAAATTTTCTAATGTAATCTTTTAAAGTTTGACAGTTTGATGTTATTTATAAGTCATAAATAAAATGTTTGGATTACTTTATTGAGGTAAGAAGTGTGCTGTGTCCATGAACCAGAAAATTAAGTCAGATAGTTAGCATTGCTTCTCTTTGTTAAAGGAAAACGTTATTAGATCCTAACACAAAGTTGTAAATGTAAGATTAGTTAGAGTAGGTAAAGCATTAATAGCAGTTGAGAGTATATTATAAGTACTATATAAAACATCAGGATTTTAAAGTTTCTTAAGAAAATATATCTTAGAAATAAAGTCTTTAGAATTAATACTGAGTGAAGAATTTTAAACACAATTTCCTGTGAAACTCAAATAGCACTAAGTAGTGCTTATGTTTCCATGAAGAATCTTCTAAGTTTGACTGTATGAAGAGATCTGCAAACATTTTGAATTTGTTTATTAAAAAATTGTGTATTCTTACATGTTTAAACTTCATTCGCTTTCATAGTGCTCTTCATTTGATGTAATACATCAAATAAGACACTTTTTCTTCTGCTCAAAAGTTTAAAATGATGCAGAAGAATAAATAATGAAATAAATAATGATAAAAGACTCAATTCACTAGCAAGAAATATCCATCTTAAACATATATGCATGCAACATAGAAGCACCAGGATTTATAAATTAATTATTAAGTAAATTAAGAGAGAACACTGACCTTCATACAATCATAACTGGAGGCTTAAATACACCATGGAGAGCTCTAGGTACATTGTCAAGGAAAAAAAAAATGAACAAAAGATTTGAAGCTTTAACTTGATGGTTGACCAAATGGACTGTTTTTGGGTTTTTTTTGAGTTGGAGTCTCACTCTGTCACCCAGACTGGAGTGCAGTGGCCGCTCCCGGCCACTGCAGCCTTGACCTGCTGGGCTCCGGCGATCCTTCCACCTCAGCCTTCCAAGTAGCCGGAATTACAGGCGTGCACTACCATGCCCAGCTGATTTTTTTGATTTATTGTAGAGATGAGGTCTCACTGCCCAGGAGGGTCTCGAACCTGCAGGCTCAGGCAATCCACTCACCTCAGCCTCCCAAAGGCACGGGATTACAGGCTGAGCCACTGAGTCTGGCTTGGACTATTTTTTAAATTGAAAAATTTAATTTATTTAGAAAGTGAGAGAGAGAGACAGGAGATTCGCCTATCCCCAAGGTAGGGGATTAGGCCAAAGTCAATAAACATGGCAGCCATAGCTCAAGGAGCCATAGGGACACACCAGAGTTTGACAAAGCAATTGCAGTCAAATGAACCTAGTAGACATCTACAGACAACTTCAGCCAACAATTACAGAATATGCATTCTACTCATCAGCACATGGAGCATATTCCAAAATTGATCACATTTTTGGTCATAAGCACAAATTTCAAAAGATCAAAATAACATGTATCATCACAGATCACTGTGGAATAAAAATAAACTAGCCACCAACAAGATACCTCCAAAACACACATAGATATGGACACCAAACAATATGCTTCTGAACAACTTCTGGGTCAACATGGAAATCAAGACAAATTAGATTTCTGAAAACAGACACATCAGAATCTCTGGGATGCTTGAAAGTAGTATTAATGGAAAGTTAATAGCATTGCACACACACGTTAAGAACACAGAAAGATCCCAAGTAGTCAGTCTGACATCACACCTAAGGGAGCTGAAAAGGCAACTCACCAAAGTTCTAACTTCAGCAGAAGAATCCAGATCACCAAAGTAAAATTGCAACAGGCAAGAGAAGACAAACATACCATAGAAAAAAATCAAGGCAAAAAATGTGGTTCTTTGAAAGAATAAATAAGATTGATGGACCCCTAGCCAAACTGACTCTTTTTATAAAAGAGAGAAAAAACCCAGATAAACCCAATTAGAAATGAAAAGATGCAGTCATGGGTGACCCTGAGGAAATTCAAAAGATTCTTAGAAATTACTATAAAAATCTGTACAGAGATAAACTAGAAAATCTAAAGAAAATGTTTCTGACATCACAACATCTCAAGGTTAAAACAAGAAATTGAAACTCTTAATAGAACAATAACAACCCAGGAACTCATCTCAGTTTTAAGAAATCCACCTACCGGAAAAAGTCCTGGACCTGATGTCTTCCCAGCTGAATTCTATAAGGCATTCATGGAGAAGCTGATACTGATCTTACTGAAAGTTTTCCAGTCAATCAAAAAAGAGGGGATGCTGCTCAGCTCATTTTATGAAGCCAAATTATGCTTATACCCAAACCTGGCAAAGACTCAACAGGTAAAGAGAATTACAGACCAATCTCCTGAATGAACACAGATGCAAATGTCCTGCACAAGATTCTAGCAAATTGGATCCAACAACATATCTCAGGAAAAATCCACCATGACTAAGTGGGCTTCATTCTAGAAATGCAGGACTGGTTCAACATTTGCAAGACCATGAATATAATTTGGCACATCAACAGATGTAAAACCAAGAACCACATGATTATAGCATTAGATGCAGAATAAGCATTTGACAAAATCCAATGTCCCTTCTTGATAAAAACACTTCAGCACCTAGGGATAAAAGCAACATTTCTGAAAACAGTAAGAACTATCTATGAGAAACCTACAGCCAACATTTTGGTCAATGGGCAGAAATTGGAGGCATTTGCCCTGGGAATGGAATTAGACAAGGATGCCCACTCTCACCCTTCCTGTTCAACATATGCTGTAAGTCTTAGAGCAGTCAGGCAAGAGAAGGAAGCCAGGGTTATTCAAATAGGAAAAGAGGAAGTTAAGCTATTCCTTTTTGTGGACAATATCCTGTATCTTGAGAACCTTGCAAAATCTGTCAAAAGCCTCCTCACACTGATAATCTAGTTTGGTAAAGTTTTGGGGTACAAAATCAGTGTTCTAAAGATGGTTCCATTTCTATACACCAGCAACAAGTAGAAAGAGTGCCAAAAAGCACAAAACCACTCACAATAACCACTCCCCCACACACACCAAAAAAAGAAAAATACCTTGGCATCTACTTAACCAGAGAAGTGAAAGACACATACAATGAAAACTACAAAATGCTGCTAAAAAGAAATCAAGGATGACACAAATGGAAAACATTCCATACTCATGGAATAGAAGAATCAATATTGACAAGCTGTCCTACAGAAAGCAATATACAGATTCACTGAAATACTCATCACACTACCAGCATTTTTTTTCAGACCTGGAAATGACAATACTGA